TCACAGGAGTTTTTTAGTTCTTTAGTAAAGAGTTTTACGGCACTTGCAACACAATAAGGTCATATAAGTGCCGAAGATTAGAGGTGTTACAAGAGAGGAACAAACACAAAATAGAAGGAGGAGAGATCAGGACGATAGACGTTTGATAGGAAAGAAGAAGCAAACCACACCAGAGCACCCGCCAACCACCCACCTTCACAGGAGTAAAGAGGACCAGGTCGACGCCAGAGAGGTCATTAATTTGTGCTGGGACAAAGTAAGATAGACAGACAGAAAGAACAAAGTAAGATAGACAGACAGAAAGAACAAAGTAAGATAGACAGACAGAAAGAACAAAGTAAGAAAGAACAAAGGTGAAGGAGAAAAACAAAACCTGTAATAATTACCAAACCAAAAGTAGGGGGGGCAATTTTTTGTTATATTCAGAAAATGTTTTATATCTCCATCCACGCAATTCAAACCTTTTGAGAAGAGTAGACAGCGACTGTGATCTCAGCCGTCAGCAAATACACACACAGAAACCACATATTAAAAACCTTTTTTCAGAAAAAAAAAGAAAAAATCCCTTGTCAGGATTTGAACTCACATCCTCCATATGCGACAATGAGCAATTTAACAGGTACATGACAGATATCTGGAACTTACACCTCCTGCATGCAGCCGAGAGATTAATTGCTGGAGTAAGAGAAAAAGTATCCAACACATCCAACACTTCTGTCTGGCCAGACGTTAGTTTGAGTTTTACGGCACTTGCAAATCAAATAAGTCATACAAGTGCCGAAGATAAGAGGTGTCACTAGAGAGTGGCATACAGAGATAAAAAGGAGGAGAGATAAGAACGATGATAGAACGAAGGAGGAGAGATAAGGACGATAGATGTTTGGTAGGAACGAAGGAGGAGAGATAAGGATGATAGATGTTAGACAGGAACGAAGGAGGAGAGATAAGGACGATAGATGTTTGATAAGGAAGAAGGAGGAGAGATGAGGGCGATTGATGTTTGATAAGGAAGGAGGAGAGATGAGGGCGATTGATGTTTGATAGGAAAGAAGGAAAAGAGATAAGGACGATAGATGTTTGATAGGAACGAAGCGCTAACCACACTGAGGAAAAGGAGAAGGAACAGACTAAGAGGCCACACAGCCCAGCCATCATTTGGAAGAAAAAGGAGATAAAAACATACAGGCAAAAATACAAGAAACAGACAGACAAACAAACAGGCATCCAGGCAACACATAGACAGAAATCCAGAGAGAGAGACAAAGAAATCCAGACAGACAGACAGACAGACAGACAGACAGACAGACAGACAGACAGACAGACAGACAGACAGGCAGACAGGCAGACACAACAGACGTGGGGTATGTACTCACTGATGTCAGCTGTAGGTAACATATTCCCTGAGACTCTCAGTTCATCAAACTTGGCATACAGCTGGTTCAACCTGGGGACATGACACACAACACACTCACATCAGTGAACACACTCACATCAGTGGACACACTCACATCAGTGGACACACTCACATCAGTGGACACACTCACATCAGTTGACACATTCACATCAGTGGACACACTCACATCAGTGGACATCAGTGGACACACTCACATCAGTGGACACACCCAGGCAAGGTTTATCCAGCAATAACTATTCCATCGCCATGTCATCCTCAGTGGTACATTTATTGGTTTACAATGACATACGTACATAAATATATGTATTATTAGTCTACAGTGGAACCTGAGCTAAAGCCCAACTGTATCAAAGATAATCACCTGAAAACAGACATCTGGATAAGACAATCACCTATACAAACGACCACCTGTATAAGACAATCACCTGAACAAACGACCACCTGGATAAGACAACTACCTGTACTTACTTACTCACTTTACCTTATCTAATCTTATCTTATCTAATCTTATCTGATCTAATCTTATCTGATCTAATCTAATCTGCCATGCCACGTACCTCTGTTGTGAAAGGCCCTTACTCTCGAGGTCATCGTGTACTTTCTTGTCATGTCATATCTCCCTCTACCTCATCTTATCTTATCTTATCTGATCTTATGTAACCGCATCTGGCACGTACCTCTGTTGTGAAAGACCCTTACTCTTGAGGTCATTGCGTACTCTGTCCCCGACGTGCCTGTATATCTCCACCAGGGAGCTCACCGCTGCCTCTCGCACCTGGGAAAACATCACAAAACAAATTCACTGAAAAACATTTTGTTTTGCACATTGCCGGCTTCAACAACTGGCGTTGTTTTTTTCCGCAACCGCCTTGACCAAAGCTTCATTTTGCTATGTCTTCTTCCCCATTTCACACAGCAGTAACTCATTTCCAACATTAAATATATT